AACCGACACTCAAGGAATGGGGGCCGTGTAGAACATCGGAGCCTTTTCTCTCAGCCTCACTCACCTGGAACACCTCTGCAACAGGTACCTAGGGGATGGAATAATAAATGCTGAAGTTCTGCCCCTCCTGGGAACATACAGTAGACTGTGATTGGGAGACTGGGAGAGAGGGAGCCCTGAGTCCTTGGCTGCACCTGCCTGGAGTAGAATGTCCATCTGCTAAGCAGGAAACGGGAGAGTGGGAGCTTGTGGTTCAAACACCACTAGGCTGTCACTGTTCTCACCAAGTTTTAGTAGATTTTCTCGAACGAATGTTTCTTTATTTGCTCTATGCTCTTAGGACCATTTCCAGATACTTTAAATGGTGGTTTTAAAAATAAATATCACAGTTTCGAGGAGAAGCAGGTGTGCAAAGCTCCTCGTGATGCCATTCCAGAAGAACTCCCAAAAAGAGTTTTAATGATCTCAGGTAGGGTCTTAAACAGACAAGAAAGGCCTCCGATCTGTCAGGAACAGTCTCAAACAACTCAGGAAGTGTCTCAAACATGTCAGAACAGATTTAATATTTGTCAGGCAGAATTTTAAATAGGCCAGGAAGGGTCTTAAACACAGAGGAGGACTCTAGAATACTTCAAGAATGTGACAAACAAGTCAGGAACAGCCTCAGAGACATTCAGAGGAGTCAGAAATACATGACAAAGAGTTCCAACTGCTTGAAGAAGGGTCTCAGCAACTCAGGAAAGGTCTAAACATGTCAGGAATGGCCTCAGAGTCAGCAGGGGCTTCAAATATGTTGGGTCTCAAATATGTGAAAAATGCCTCAAAAAGACAGAAAGAAACTCACACAGCAGGAATCACCTCAAACCAGTCAAGAAGGATATCAGGATACTTAGAATTTTAAATTTGTCAGTAGGGTTCTCAAACAGATGAAAAGGGTCTCCAATATGCCAGAAAGGTTTTAAATATGTCAGCAAGGGTCTCCAACAAGTAAAAAGGAGTTCAAGCAAGTCACAAAGGGTCCCAAATATGTCAGGAAAAGTCTCAATCAGACAGGAAGAGACTCATGCAAAAAGAATTGAATACAAGTCATGGAATGTCTCAAACATTTCAGAAACAGCCTTACTTTTGTCAGGTGGTATTTCAATGTATCTGATGGGGTCTCATAGACAGAAAGAGTCTCATGTCAGTAAGGGTCTCAGAAAAGTCAGGAAAGATTTCAAATATGTCAAGAAGGGTCTCAGTATGTTAAACAGTCTCAAATATGTCAGAAAGGGTCTCAAACATTAAAAAAAAAAAGGCTCAAATAGTAAGAGTTTCAAACGTGTTTCAAATAACTCAGGAAGGGCCTCAAACATCTCAGAAACTACTTCACCTACATAAAAAGGGTCTCAAATACATTGGGTAGTTTCCCAAAAAAGTTGAGAAAGTCCCCAAAGCAGTCAAGAAGAACTTTATTTTTTATTATTTACATATTTATTTTTTGAGACAGAGTCTCACTCTGTTGCCCAGGCTGGAGTGCAGTGGCATGATCTCAGCTCACTGCAACCTCTGCTTCCTGGATTCAAGTGATTCTCCTGCCCCAGCCTCCCGAGTAGCTGGGATTATACGCATGTGCCACCACGTCCGGCTAATATTTGTATATTTAGTGGAGACGGGGTTTCTCCATGTTGGTCAGGCTGGTCTCAAACACCTGACCTCAGGTGACCCACCCGCCATGGCCTCCAAAAGTGCTGGGATTACAGGCATGAGCCACCGCGTCTAGCCAATAAGGCTTTCAAACAGGGGAAGAGTCTTCAATATGTCTGGAAAGTCCCCAAACACATGGGAAAGCATGTCAAGCAAGCCATAACGCTCAAAAATGTGTCCAGAAGGGCCCCCAAATAGTCAGAAAAGATCTCAGACACGTTAGGAAGGGTTTCTACAAACCAGGAAGTGTCTTAAACAAGTCAAGAGGAGTCTCAAATATATCACAAAGGGTCTCCAACTGGATGGAAATGCCTCCAACACTCAGGAAAGTTCTCAGGTCTGCTAGGAATGGTCTCAACAGCATCAAGTGTCTCACATGCTAGGAAGCATCTCAAACAATTCAGGAAGAGTCTCAAATACATCCGAAACGGTCTCAACTGGACAGGGAGAATTTCAATGTGTCAGGAAGAGGCTTAATCCATCAGGAAGAGTCTCAAACAAGTCATTAAGTATCTCAACCACGTCAGGGAGGGTCTCAAATTGCTAAGAATCTCAAACAAAAGGAAGAGTCTCAAATAGTCAGAAAAGATCACAAACACATCATAACATTTCTCTGATGAGTCTGGAGAGTTGCCAAGATGACAAGATGTTCTCAAAATGGTCTAGGCGTATCTAGAGTAGTAGAGATTATTATTATTATATTATTATTATTATTTTGAAATAGAGTTTTTCTCTTGTTGCCCAGGCTGGAGTGCAATGGCATGATCCCAGCTCACCATAACCTCTGCCTCCTGGGTTCAAGCAATTCTCCTGCCTCAGCCTCCCAAGTAGCTGGGAGTACAGGCATGCGCCACCACGCCTGGCTAATTTTGTATTTTTAGTAAAGAAAGGGTTTCTCCATGTTGGTCAGGCTGATCTCGAACTCTCGAACTCAGGTGATCTGCCCACCTCGGCTTCCCAAAGTGCTGGGATTATGAGCCACCACGCCCAGCCGAGAATATTATTTAATACACAAGGAAGGTCTCAAATCTGTTCCTAACAGTCTTAAGAAGTCAGGACAGGTCTTAAATATGTCAGGAAGTATTTCAAAGTTGAAAGTTATTGGGAAGGTTTTTTTGTAATATATATATTTTTTTATTTCCATAGGGTTTTGGAGAACAGGTGGTATTTGGTTACATGAGTAAGTTCTTTTTTTTTTTTTTTTTTTTGAGATGGAGTTTCGCCCTTGTTACCCAGGCTGGAGTGCAATGGCGCGATCTCGGCTCACCGCAACCTCCGCCTCCTGGGTTCAGGCAATTCTCCTGCCTCAGCCTCCTGAGCAGCTGGGATTACAGGCACGCGCCACCATGCCCAGCTAATTTTTTGTAGTTTTAGTAGAGACGGGGTTTCACCATGTTGACCAGGATGGTCTTGATCTCTTGATCTCGTGATCCACCCGCCTCGGCCTCCCAAAGTGCTGGGATTACAAGCGTGAGCCACCACGCCCGGCCGAGTAAGTTCTTTAGTGGTGATTTGTCAGATTTTGGTGCGCCCATCGCCCAAGCAGTATACACTGAACCCAATTTGCAGTCTTTTATTTCTCATACCCTTCCCACCCTTCCTCCTGAGTCCCCAAAGTTTATTGTTTCATTCTTATGCCTTTGTATCCTCATAGCTTAGCTCCCACTTATAAGTGAGAATATACAATGCTTGGTTTTCCATTCCTGAGTTACTTCACTTAGAATAATAGTCTCTAATCCCATCCAGGTTGCTGTGAGTGCCATTATTCTGTTTTATAACTGAGTAGTATTCCATCATATATATATATATATATATATATATATATATATATATCACAGTTTTTTCATCCACTCATTGATTGATGGGCATTTGGGCTGGTTCCATATTTTTTGCAATTGTGAATTGCTATAAACATGCGTGTATAAGTATCTTTCATATAATGACTTCTTTTCCTCTGGGTAGATACCCAGTAGTGGAATTGCAGGATCAAATGGTAGTTCCACTTTTATTTCTTTAAGTAATCTCCATACTGTTTTTCACAGGGGTTGTTCTAGTTTACATTCCCACCAGCAGTGTAGAAGTGTTCCCTTTTCACCACATCCACGCCAATAGAATTTTTTTTTTTTTTTTTGAGACAGAGTTTCCCTCTTGTTGCCCAGGCTGGAGTGTAATGGCGCGATCTTGGCTCACTGCAACTTGCACCACCCAGGTTCAAGCGATTCTCCTGCCTCAGCCTCCTGAGTAGCTGGGATTATAGGCATGTGCCACCATGCCCAGCTAATTTTGAATTTTTAGTAGGTTTCTCCATGTTGGTCAGGCTGGTCTCGCCTCAGCCTCCCAAAATGCTGGGATTACAGGTGTGAGCCACCATGCCCAGCCATAATTGTTATTCATATATAACTTGCATAGAGTAAAAATTACCACTTGTAAGTGTACAATTCAGTGGTTTCTTGAATATACACAAGTTTGTGCAACCTTCACCACTATCTAACTCCAGAATATTTTCATCGCCCTAGAAAGAAACCCCCATGCCCCTTAGCAGTCATTCCCCACCCCTCCCTACTCTCAGTCAGTGGTAACAACTAATCTATTAATACTTTTTGTCTCTACGGATTTGCCTATTCTGGACATTCCACATAAATGGAATCATACACTATGTGGCCTTTTTTGTCTGGCTCCCTTCTCTTAGTATAATGTTTCCAAGATCCATGTAGGTAGTAACATATATTGGTACTTCATTCCTTTTTATGGCTGAATAATAATCCATTGTATGGATATACCACATTTTATTTATCCATTTACTAGTTGATGGATGTTTGGGTGGTTTCCACCTTTTGGCTATTATTAATACTGCCGCAATGAACATTTGAAAACAAGTTTTTGTGTGAACATAAATTTTCATTTCTCTTGGGAAATTCCATCTAGGAGTAGAATTGTTGGGTCATGCAGTAAGGAAGAGTTTTCATCACCTCAGGAAAGGTCATAGATAAAAAAAAAGAAGGATCTTGATCATACAGGAAGGATTCAAATACATCAGGAAGTGTCTCACGCATGTCATAAACACTCTCAAAGACAAAGGCGGTGTCTCCAAATACATTATAAATAGTATCAAATGACTTGGTAATAGTCTCAAGGTAGTCAGGAAGATTTCAAAATGTCAGTACCTGAGATGAACATTGTAAATATCCCACAAAAGGATATCAAAATTAAAGCAACAGTATCAATCAATCAGTAAAGCTCAGCTCATAATTCTGTTAAGAAGAGTCTTGCTTTCCGCTCAGCTATTTTCCTGCGCAGGAGCCGCAGGGCCATAGGCAGCCATAGTGCCCAGCTGGAACGGCATGATCTTGAAACCCCACTTCCACAAGGACTGGCAGGGGCACGTGGCCACGTGGTTTAACTAGCTGGCCCAGAAGATCCTCAGACGTTAAGGCTCAGCAAGCCAAGGTGCACCACATTGCCCCGCAGCCTGCATCTCAGGGGCCCATCCAGCCCATGTGCTCTGCCCCACAGTTCGGTACCACACGAAGGTGTGCACTGGCTGCGGCTTCAGCCTGAAGGAGCTCCGGGCGGCAGGCATTCACAAGAAGGTGGCCCGGACCATTGGCATTTCTGTGGATCCAGGGATCCACCGAGTCCACCGAGTCCCTGAAGGCCAACATGCAGCAGCCGAAGGAGGACGGCTCCAAACTCATCCTCTTCCCTAGGAAGCCCTCAGCCCCAAAGAAGGCAGACAGTTCTGCTAAAGAGCTGAAACTGGCCACCCAGCTGACAGGACCCGTCATGCCCATCCGGAATGTCTGTAAGAAGGAGAAAGCTCGAGTCATCACTGAGGAGGAGAAGAGTTTCAAAGCTTTCGCTAGTCTCCACATGGCCAGTGCCAACGCCCGGCTAGTCAGCATACAGGCAAAAAGAGCCAAAGAAGCTATAGAACAGGATGTTGAAAAGAAAAGGATAAAGCCCTCTTGGGGACATGCAATAAATCAGCAGTCATGCTGGGAAAAAAAAAAAAGAAAGAAAGAAAGAAAAGAACAGTCTCAAAAAATAACAGAAAGGGTTTCAAATAGTTAGGAAAGGTAGCAACGTCAGGAAGTCTCAAATATATCAGGAGTCATCTTCCTCACACAAGAAGAGTCCAAATAGTTCAGATAGGCATTTAACATGGCAGTAGAAGACTCCAATAAGGTAAGAGTGTGAAACTAGGAAAGAAAGGTCTCACATTTGTCAGGTGGAGTTTAAAATACGTCTCTAGCTGGGGCGTGGTGGCTCATGCCTGTAATCCCAGCATTTTGGGAGGCCAAGGTGGGTGGATCACCTGAGGTCAGGAGTTCAAGACCAGCCTGGCCTACAAGGTGAAACCCTGTCTCTATTAAAAATGCAGAAATTAGCTGGGTGTGGTGGTGGGCACCTGCTGTAATCCCAGCTACTCCAGAGGCTGAGGCAGAAGAATCTCTTGAACCTGGGAGATGACGGAGGCTGCAGTGAGCCAAGATTGTGCCACCGCACTCCAGCCTGGGCAACAGAGCAAGACTCCGTCTCAAAAAAATAATAAATAAATAAATAAAATGTGTCTCTAATAATTCTAACTAGATAGGCAAAATTAAGAAGAGTCTCAAATATATTAGGAGGAGTCTCAAAACTGTCAAGAAGTGTCTTAAACATGTCAGAAAGGGTCATAAATAGAGAGAAAATGTCTGAAGTCCTCACAAATGATCTCAAACAAATCAGGAACAGTTCCAAAGTAGTCAGGAAGAGTTTCAAATAGGTCAGCAAGGGTCTGGAATGAAGAGTAACAGTCTCAAATACTCGGGGAAGGTCACAAATACATCAAGAAGTCTTAAGCTTGCCAGGAAGAATCTCAAACAATTAAGTACAGGTTTCAATCATGTCAGGGAGGATCACAAGCAATCAAGAAAAGTCTCATGCCAGTCAGAAAGGATTTGGAACATTCTTCAGGGAGGGCCTCAACATCATCAGGAAGAGTCTCATTATGTCAGAATGTGTTTCAAACATTACAGAGAGTGTCACAAAGAGAGAAGGGTCTGTAATGCATTATGAATTCTCTCAAGCCAGACTGGAAGTTTTCTCAAAGTAGTCAGGAAGAGCTTTTAAATTTGTCAGCAAGGGGCCAGGTGTGATGACTCATGCCTGTAATCCCAGCACTTTGGGAGGCTGAGGCGAGTGGATTACTTAAAGTCAAGAGTTCGAGACCAGCCTGGCCAACATGGCGAAATGCCGTCTCTACTAAAAATACAAAAATTAGGGCCAGGCATGGTGGCTCATGCCTGTAATCACAGCACTTTCAGAGGCCGAGGTGGGTGGACCACCTGAGGTCAGGAGTTTGAGACCAACCTGGCCAACATGGCGAAACCTCATCTCTACTAAAAATACAAAAATTAGCCGGGCATGATGGTGGGCACCTGTAATCCCAGCTACTCGGAAGGCTGAGGCATGAGAATAGTTTGAACCTGGGAGGTGGAGTTTACAGTGAGCTGAGACCGCACCATTGCACTCCAGCCTGGGCAACAGAGTGAGACTCCATCTCAAAAAAAAAAAAAAATTAGTCGGGCATGGTGGCACACACCTGTAGTCCTACCTACTCAGGAGACTGAAGTATGAGAATCACTTGAACCTCGGAGGCAGAGGTGGCAGTGAGCCAAGATTGCACCACTGCACTCCAGCCTGGTCAACAGAGCAAGACCCTGTCCCAAACAAAAATAAAAATAAAATAAATAAATTTGTCAGCAAGGGATCCAAACATGTAGGAAAGTGTCTCAAGGAAGTCAGAAAAGATCTCTAATATACTAGGAAAAGTCACGAAGGCTCTTAAACCTGTCAGGAAGCGTGTTAAATATGTCACGGCCAGGTCAGGTGGCTCATGCCTATAATCCCAGCACTTTGGGTGGTTGAGATGAGCAGATCGATTGAGGTCAGGAGTTTGAGATAAGCCTGGACAACATGTCAAGATCCTGTCTCTACAAAAAATACAAAAATTAGCCAGGCATGGTGGTACATGCTTGTAGTCCCAGCTACTTGGGAGGCTGAGGCAGGAGAATCACCTGAGCCTGGGAGGTTGAGGCTATAGTGAGCTGTGATTGTGCCACTGCACTCCAGCCTGGGCAACAGTGCAAGACCCTGTCTTGAAATTTTAAAATGTTGCAGCTGAGTGTGGTGGCTCATGACTATAACCCCAGAACTTTGGGAAGCCGAGGCAGGCAGATCATTTGAAGTCAGGAGTTCAAGACCAGCCTGGCCAACATGGTGGAACCCTATCTCTACTAAAATACAAAAATTATTACAGGTGTTCGTCACCGGGTGTGGTGACGAACACCTGTAATCACAGCTACTCGAGAGGCTGGGGAATGAGAATCGCTTGAATCCAGGAAGCGGAGATTGCAGTGAGCCAAAATGGCGGCCACTGCACTCCAACCTAGGCAATAAAGGAAGGCTCAGTCTCAGCACAAACAAACAAACAAAAATGTCGCAAAGGTTCTCTAACACATTAAACAGTCTCAAACACATTGAAAGCAGTCTCAAATATGACAGAAAAGGACTCAAGCTTGTCAGGAAATATCCAGAACAGAGAGGAAGAATTTCATATACATGAGGAAGCATTACAAATAGGTAGGGAGGTTTCTCAAAGTAGGAAGAGTTACAAAAGGGTCAGTAAAAGTCTTAAATAGAAATGGAGTGCCCCTGATACAACCTAGCACGTCAGCATGTCAGAAATGATCTCCAACTGTCAGGAGGGGCCTCAAAAAAAATCAGAAAGAAACTCACATACATCAGGAAGAGTGGCAAACTATCAGGAAGTGTTGCAAACAGAGAGGAAGGGTCACATGCATCAGGAATCTTCTCAAACGAGAAGGCCTCAAAATAGTCAGGAAGAGTATTAAGTATGCAAATAAAGGGCGCCAAAAGAGAGAAAAAGACCTAAACACCTCAGGAATGCTGTCAAACTTGTCAGGAAAGGTTTCAGGTAAGTTGGGAAAGGTCTTAGGCAAGTCAGAGACGATTCCTAATAGAGCAGAAAGTCACAAAGTATTTATGGATGCTTGGCCGGGCGTGGCGGCTCCCGCCTGTAATCCCAGCACTTTAGGAGGCCAAGGTGGGCGAATCACTTAAGGTCAGGAGTTCGAGACCACCCTGGCCAACATAGTGAAACCCCATCTCCACCAAAAATATGAAAAATTAGCCGGGTGTGGTAGTGTGCACGTGTAGTCCCAGCTACTTGGGACTTCGGGAGGCCAAGGCTGGTGGATCACCTGAGGTCAGGAGTTCAACACCAGCCTGGCCGACATGGTGAAACCCCATCTCTATTAAAAATACAAAAATTAGCTGGGCGTGGTGGCAGGCACCTGTGATCCCAGCTACTTGGGAGGCTGAGGCAGGAAAATGACTTGAACCTGGGAGGCAGAGGTTGCAGTGAGCCCAGACAGTGCCACTGCCCTCCAGCCTGGGCTACAGAGTGAGACAGAAAAAAAGAAAGAAAGAAAGAAGGAAAGAAGGAAAAGAAGGAAGGAAGGAAGGGAGGAAGGGAGGAAGGAAGGAAGGAAGGAAGGGGAAAAGGAAGGTTCTCAAACCATCAAGAATGATTACATAAAGATAAGCAGAGTTTCAAATATGTCATAATGGTCTCGAACAGTCAGGAAATGTCTCAAAGACAGCAAGAAAATTCTCAAAGACATCAGAAAGAAGAGCAAACATGTCAGAACAGTCTCAAACATAGGACAAGTCTCAAACAAACTAGGAATGGCCTCAAACGCATCAAGAAGTATCTCCAACAAGCCACGATGTATCTCAAAACAGAGAGAAAATATCTCAAATGCTTCAGGAACAGTCACATATGTGTCAGGAACGGTCTAAAATATGTCAAGAAGAGTTATGCATGTCAGAAAAGGCTTCAAAAACACCAGAGGAGGGCCCCAAAATCATCGGGAAGTCTCAAATACACTCGAAAGAGTCTCAAACATGACAGGAAGTGTCTTGAACATGACAGGGAGTGTTCCTAAGAGAGAGGAAGAGTCTGGAATCTATTACAAATTCTCTCAAACCAGAATGGAAGGATCTCACAGTAGTCAGGAAGAGCATTACATTTTCCAATAAGGGTCAGTAATGGTCTGATACGGTTTGGCTGTGTCCACACCCAAATCTAGAATTGTAGCTCCCATAATGCCCATGTGCTGTCGGAGGGACCCAGTGGGAGGTAACTGAATCATGAGGGTGGGTCTTTTCCATGCTGTTCTCTTGATAGTGAATAAGTCTCACAAGATCTGATGGTTTTCAAAGGGGAGTTAACTTTGCTCCTCCTTTGCCTTCCACCATGATTGTGAGCCCCCCACCCCCAGCCATGTGGAACTGTGAGTCCATTAAACCTCTTTCCTTTAAAAATTACCTAGTCTCGGGTATGTCTTTGTTGGCAGCATTGAGAACAAACTGATACATGATCTCATATACATCCAGAAAGGTTTTAACATTTCAGCAAGAGACATAAATGAGTTGGCAGGCAACTCAAGCATCAAAAAATGTCTCTAACATGTCACAAAGAGTGAGAAGCCGGCCGGGCGCGGTGGCTCAAGCCTGTAATCCCAGCACTTTGGGAGGCCGAGGCGGGTGGATCACGAGGTCAAGAGATCGAGACCATCCTGGTCAACATGGTGAAACCCCGTCTCTACTAAAAATACAAAAAATTAGCTGAGCATGGTGGTGCATGCCTGTAATCCCAGCTACTCAGGAGGCTGAGGCAGGAGAATTGCCTGAACCCAGGAGGCGGAGGTTGCGGTGAGCCAAGATCGCGCCATTGCACTCCAGCCTGGGTAACATGAGTGAAACTCCATCTCAAAAAAAAAAAAAGAGTGAGAAGCCTCAGATAGGCTTAGGAAAGTCTTAAATATGTTATAAACTTCTCAAATATAAGGAGGGTCTCAAACACATCAGAAGGAGCCTAAACATGTTAGGAAGTGTCTGAGTCTGCTCAGGGTCTTATCTAGAAGGGAGATAGGAAGGATCTCTATTTCATCAGCAGTCCTCTCAGACAAGTCTAGAAGGGCTCAAAGTAGTCAGCAAGAGCT